TCCTTCTTCTTCCTTCTTCTGGCAGAGTTTCACTCTGTCACCCAGGCTGGAGTGCAGTGGCGTGATCTCGGCTCACTGCAACCTCTGCCTCCTGAGTTCAAGCGAATCTCCTGCCTCAGCCTCCCAAGTAGCTGGGACTACGGGCGTGTGCCACCATGACTGGCTAATTTTTTGTATTTTCAGTAGAGATGGGGTTTCACCATGTTGGTCAGGCTGGTCTCGAACTCCTGACCTCGTGATCCACCCGCCTCAGTTTCCCAAAGTCCTGGGATTACAGGTGTGAGCCACTGCGCCCAGCCTGGAAGATCATTATTTAGACCTACAACTGATGCATTGTTCCACTGACACAATTGCCCAGGCTGGTCTTGAACTCCTGGGCTCAAGCAGTCTGCCTGCCTTGGCCTCCCTAAGTGCTAGTATTACAGGCTTGAGCCACTGTGCCCAGCCAAAAATAGAAATTTATATTCTCACAAAAACATGTACATGAATGTTTATAGCAGCTTTACTTGTAATAATCAAAAACTGGAAATGACCAAAATGTCCTACAGTGAAACAAACTGTAGTACATCCATAGCATGTAATACTCTACTGTCAGGATTAAAAAGAAACCAACTGTTGGCACAGGCAGCACCGTGGCTGGATCTCAGGGGCATTATGCTGAGTGCAAAAAAGCCTCAAAGGGTCTTATACTGTATGATTCCATTTGTTCAACGTTCTAAAAATGACAGCTGCATAGAGATAGAGAACATATTAGTGGTTGCCGCTAGTTAGAGAAAGTGGGTGAAAGAGAGGTGGGTGTGAATATAAATGGATAGGAGGGAGATCTTTGTGGTATTATAACACTTCTGTGTCTTGATTGTAGTGCTCATGGTTACATGAATACACATGTGTGATAAAATGCCGTGTAGAACTACATATAACATTGTGCCAATGTCACTATCTAGGTTTTAGTTTGATCTTTAGTTACATAAGATGTAACTGTTGGGTGAAATTGGGCAAAAGAATACCCGAAACCTCTCTGAAATATCTTTGCAACTTCCTTTGAATTGACAATTATTTCAAAATAGAAAGTTGGGTTTTTGTTGTGTATATCAACATGAGTATATCAACATGAATTGTTGATATACACAACATGAGTATATCACAACATGAGTATATCAACATGAACTGCTGATATTGTTGATATACACAACAAATTGGTGATATACACAACAAATCCCAAATGCATTACACTAAGTGAAAGAAGCCATATTCAAAAGGCTACGTATCTACTGATGCCTTTTATATGACATGCAGGAAAAGATGAAACTGTTGGACAGAGAATATACTGTTGGCTAGCTGGGATTAGGAATTGGGGATTGACCACAAAGGGGCAGCATGAGGGAGTTTTCTGGGGCAATGGAATGGTTGTATATCTTGACAGTGTATTTGTCAAAATATATAGAACTATAAAAGTAAGTTTTGCTTTATATGCATTAAATCAAAAAAAGAAACTCGTGCTCAAATAGAAATACATTTTCTGAGAGCTTACCTTTTGATGACTTTGAGAATTTTCTGGAAATTTTAAAGAAATGTGGTTTTGTTTCCCAACAGGTGATGCTATGGGTGAAGACGACATGCTTCAGGCAGCTGTGACCATGTCTTTAGAAACTGTCAGAAATGATTTGAAAACAGAAGGAAAAAAATAATACCTTTAAAAAATAATTGAGATATTCATACTTTCCAACATTATTCTGTGTGATTACAGCATAGGGGCCACTTTGGTAATGTGTCAAAGAGATGAGGAAATAAGACTTTTAGTGGTTTGCAAACAAAATGATGGGAAAGTGGAACAATGCGTCAGTTGTAGGACTAAAAAATGATCTCCCAAATATTAGCCAAAGAGGCATTCAGCAATTAAAGACATATAAAATAGTTTTCTAAATGTTTCTTTTTCTTTTTTGAGTGTGCAATATCTAACATGTCTAAAATTAGGGCATTTTTCTTGGATCTTTTTGCAGACCAGCTAATTAGCTCTTGCCTCAGGCTTTTTCCAGTTTTCTTTTTCTCTCTTGTAGATAATTTGGCTCACATCATCTAATAGTGACTTTCTTATTAACCAAATTAACCTTTCAGGAAAGTATCTCTAGTCTGTGTTGATAATAGTAATGGTTCTAGAAGGTTAAACAGTCCTCCCTTCAATTGTATACTGTGTGCTCCAGTGTTTTCTTGTGTTATTTTCTCTGATCACAACTTTTCTGCGACCTGGTTTTCATTATTTTCCCACAATTCTTTTGAAAGATGGTAATCTTTTCTGAGGTCTAGCATTTTAAGTCCTGTGATGGGATCATTATTTCATGACTGGTGCATTCCTAAACTCTGAAATCAGCCCTGCGCAAGTACTTGAGAATAAATGAGCGTTTTTTAAAATGTGTGAGCATGTGCTTTCCCAGATGCTTTATGAATATCTTTTCACTTACATCAAAACCTTACAGCTTTGTTGCAACCCCTTCTTCCTGCGCCTTATTTTTTCCTTCTCCAATTGAGAAAACTAGGAAAGCATAGTATGCAGGCGAGTCTCCTTCTGTTAGAAGACTAAACATACGTACCCACCATGAATGTATAATACATGAAATTTGGCCTTCAATTTTAATAGCAGTTTTATTTTATTTTTTTCTCCTATGACTGGAGCTTTCTGTTCTCTTTACAGTTGAGTCATGGAATATAGGTGTCTACTTCACATCTTTTAGTAGGTATAGCTTGTCAAAGATGGTGATCTGGAACATGAAAATAATTAATGAAAATGTTTAAATTTATACTGTGATTTGGCACTTGCATCATGTTTAGATAGCTTAAGAACTGTAGAAGTCACAGTACTTAGTGGGTCTGTAAATAAGAAAGTCCATAGTTTTGATAAATATTCTCTTTAACTAAGTTGTACAGAGAGTTTCTTGCTGGGTCAATAGGATAGTACCATTTTGGTGAAAACCGTGTCTCTCTGAATTTGATGTTTTAGTTTCTGTGTTCCCCATCCCTCATTCTCCAGCCCCTTTTGAAGCTCTTTTGAATGTTGAATTGTTCATAAGCTAAAATCCAAGAAATTTCAGCTGACAACTTAGAAATTAAAGTATGGTATATTGCCCTACTGGTGTGTGGCTGCACACATTTCATCAGGGAAAGTTTTTTGATCTAGGATTTATTGCTAACTGAAAAGAGAAGAAAAAATATCTTTTATTTATGATTATGAAATAGCTTTTTCTTGGATATAACAGATTTTTTAAGTCATTATTTTGTGCCAAAGTTTTCTGAAGTTTCCCTTACACAAAAGGATAGTTTTATTTTAAAATCTAAAGTTTTCTTTTAATAATTAAAAATGTTTCAGAAGAATTATAAAACTTTAAAACTACAAGAGATGTTAGAGTTTAGTACTACTCCCTCAAGATTTAAAAAGCTAAATATTTTAAGACTGAACATTTATGTTAATTATTACAGGTGTGTTAGTCATATTTTCCATGGATATTTGTTCATTACCTTTTTCCATTGAAAAGTTACGTTAAACTTTTCATACACTTGAATTGATGAGCTACCTAATATAAAAATGAGAAAACCAATATGCATTTTAAAATTTTAATTTTAGCATTTATAAAGTTCATATATACCCTAGTTAAAGCACTTAAGAAAATACGGCATGTTTGACTTTTATTTGCTAGAGAGGTTTTTTTGGTTGTTTTTGTTTCTGCTTTTTTTGAGACAGAGTCTCGCTCTGTTGCCCAGGCTGGAGTGCAGTGGCGTGATCTCGGCTCATTACAACTTCCACCTCCTGGGTTCAAGCGATTCTTCTGCCTCAGCCTCCAGAGTAGCTGGGATTACAGGCGCCCACCACCATACCCAGCTGATTTTTGTATTTTTGGTAGAGACATGGTTTCATCATGTTTGGCCAGGCTGGTCTCGAACTCCGGACCTCAGGTGGTCTGCCTGCCTTGGCCTCCCAAAATGTTGGGATTACAGGCATGAGCCACCATGCCTGGCCAGCTGGAGAGTTTTTAAAGCAGAGGTGAGCACACACTGGATGCGTTTGAATGTGTTTGTGTAGTTGTGAAATTGTTACATTTAGCAGGCAGATCCAGAATCACTAGTGAACTGCCATCTTGGTGGGGTTGGCTTAAATGTAATTGAATGTTTAGATTCTATTTCTTAATTGATTGGCCAGTGTGAAAATATGCCAGTGCAAGTAACCACAGTATCACAAAAGTTAAAAGTTATGCAAAGCTATAGCTTATGTATCAGGTACTGCCATTTACTGTAAACCACCTGCAAGAAAGTCAGGAACAAGTAAATTCACAAGAACTGTCCTGCTAAGAACTGTATTAAAGATTTCCATTCTGTTTTACTAATTGGGAACATCTTAATGTTTAATATTTAAACTATTGGTATCATTTTTCTAATGTATAATTTGTATTACTGGGATCAAGTATGTACAGTGGTGATGCTAGTAGAAGTTTAAATAAGCCTTGGAAATACCACTTTCATATTTTCAGATGTCATGGATTTAATGAGTAATTTATGTTTTAAAAATTCAGAATAGTTAATCTCTGATCTAAAACCATCAATATATGTTTTTTACAGTAATCAACATATAAATATTTCAGTAATATAAACTGTTTGAAAAGGCTGCTGCAGGTAAACTCTATACTAAGATCTTGGCCAAATAATTTACAATTCACAGAATATTTTGTTTAAGGAGGTGCTTTGTTTTTGTCCTTAAAACTTGATTTTTCTTAAGGCTTTATTCATGATGCCAAAGCCAATGAGGAAAAAAACTCAAAACCAGTTGAGTATCATTATAGACAAAACTACCAGTAGTCCATATTGTTTCATTTAATATTAAGTTGAATAAATTTTATTCCAGTCAGAGCCTAAATCACATTTTGAATGTCTGAATTTTTGATACTATTTTTGAAATCATGCTAGTGCCGGCCAGGCGTGGTAGCTCACACCTGTAATCCCAGCATTTTGAGAGGCCAAAGTGGGTGGATCACGAGGTCAGGAGTTCAAGACCAGCCTAGCCAAGATGGTGAAACCCCGTCTGTAGTAAAAACTACAAAAATTAGCTGGGCACGGTGGCAGGTGCCTGTAATCCCAGCTACTTGGGAGGCTGAGGCAGGAGAATCACTTGAACCTGGGTGGCAGAGGTTACAG